TATTAATTATATTCCTTTTTTCAGTGCAATGGTAGTTGTATTAGTGCAATGATATCAGTGTACGGGTGCAATCGTAGTTGTATCAGTGCAATGGTAGTTCAAAAAAAGAAATGTTATTAATATGAGTTTTTAATTCTCAAAGATTATTAAATTCGACAATAATTTAATATAAAAATAACGATAATTAATAGAAGGTGTCATTTTTCCAACCCTTAGAGGGATGTCAAGCTAACCGACCCCAGATGATATGTGTAGGCCCTGTTCACTTCCATTTTTCGTTTCCTGTTTTCTGTTTTCATGTGATAAATTTGGCAATCGAAATGAGAAAACTTGTTTACTTTTCATTCTGTTTTCTATTCGTTTCCAACTATGAAAACAGAAAGTGGCAACTTCATGCTGTTTTTGGAAACGACAAAATGTTGTTTTCACCTGTTTTCAACATCTGTTTTCTCAAAAACAGGAAACAGAAATGAAAGTAAACAGGCCCGTAGAGTTTGATGGGTTTGTACCCGTACCCATTTACTTGGATTGGATTGGGTTCTTAACACATGGATTTGGGTTTGTACACATGTCAAAATACAAATTACAGTTTAGTATCTAAACTTAATATATATACATATATAGTACCTAAATTTAATTTTCTTCGTATAAGTCCTAAAAATTTTGGTGAAATTTTACATTTTAGTACCTAATTTTTTTTATCTTGCATTTTGGTACCTAAACTTTTGAAGTTTTACAAATAGGTCCAATTTTTTATATGTAGTTAAAACACCTTCAAGTAAATGGATATTCATATCCAACGTATACCCATTTAGATTATGAAAGCAATATACATACCTTATCCAAACTCATCTACACGCCCCGAACCCGATTATATCTCGTTCATATTCTACTCATTATCAATGGATCTACTTGGGTTTGGGTATAATGACAGGTAATTGACATTCTGTTACGTTTTATTTGTTGGTTTTGGATTTGTTTAATTTCCAATAATATTTTAGCTTGTTTTAGCTGTTCAGTTAGCCACGATTCCCACTTTCTGAACGTAGAGTAGGATTAGGGAATTAGTTAGTTCTGGTTCATATTTAAGTTGTAATTGTTGGGTTGAGATGATCATGGAATAAGATTATTAATTTGGAGGCTTGAGCCTATTATCCTCTCCCTACTTCTTCTCCCTTCTTCCCCTCTTTCTTCGTTTTCTTTCTAAACTCTACATTTTGCCATTATCTTCCCTTCCCTTCTCTGTTTCTAACTCTCTGTTCCATTATTCACTTCTCTTCTTCTTCCCTTCTTAATCACCGAACCCACTTCCCTCTTCTTACTTCTCCACACACCCTAGTCTTGTTCCGCCAGAACCATAGCTCCCAAACGAGACAAAGGGAATTTGCCATTACCTAGTCCTTGGTCGGGAATTGATAGATCGATTACAAGGTCCTACGTAAAAGCACACAACACATTCTTAAATATAATCACGTCCTCACAGAAGGTGATGCAAGCAACTAACCAGATTCCTTTTAGTCTTTTACGATGTATGTCCCCAATCGCGTCCCACATCTCGGTGCCATACCTGGGTCACCCTTATTGGATTGTATATTTCTACAATTCTACTCGATGACCATGGTGTTATGCGAGATTTGCTCCTACAAACGGAAAAGCTCGCTTGTGGGCAGCTCTAACACACAATCCAAATCCTTCGCCTTCTTTGTAGAACACCCAACAAAATCCCCATCTCCTCCTATCTGCAGTCGCTCCTCCTCAGCAGCCATCCTTCAATACCCATCCAAGGTCAGGGAATCGAGCTACGCTCTTCATTCAAGCGTTGTTTTGTTTGGATGATCGAATAATCATCACGCGCTTCGGCCGCAAAAGGGAGCAGATCTGGATTTTGTTGTTTCCTCCATCAATCCATATCGTGTATTTGAACACCCATCCTACCTCCTCAGCTTCTACCTATGGCCTTCCATCTTCAAAACACAGATGAATTCACTCCCCAGCAATAAATTCCCTTCATTTCTAACTTCCTCCATCAATCCAACGAGGGATTCCACCTTCTTCGTCCAATCGACCGACGCCATCTCTGACTTCTCTCCTGCTGTGCCTCCTTAATATAAGTTCGTGAATTAATCTGCAAAATCCGCGCTCCAATCAAAACTAATTCGCGAATTTTGTGCGAATTCCTTCAGATACGCGTTTCAGCGCTCCAAAGCGGGAGCGTCCACCCTTTCCCGACGAATTGGGTGACCTAAGCCGGCCCAGAGACCATAGAGCCCAGTTTGAACATGCCCCCTGGACTGGAGAGTCGCGTGGTTCAGTCCCTCCCACGTGACAGTTGGCCGCCACGTGGCCCAAGAACCCGCTCACGTCAGCAGGGGTGGACTGGTCTGGGACTTGGGGCCAAAAATATATCCAAGGAAATCTTCAATCTCGTTCTCGTGAGAGCGACAACTCGTTCAACCGCACTGGCGAACGGCAGCGTATCATCCAAAGAGTAAGGTGGGAACAGGGAAGAGGAAGAGAGAGCAGTCGCCGTGGCAGCCGAGAAGTCAGTTTGCGGGTTTTGTGGGGAAAGCGGGCGGCAGATGGCAGAATCATAAGCTGACTGCAACATAAGGGAAGGAAGAGTGAGTGGAGTATATTGTTCCCCACGCTTCCAGACAACAACCTTCGGATATTGTCGGCCCTTTCATTTCTCATCTATCCATCCCCACTACTTCACTCTACAGTCTACCCCATCCAACCTTGCTCATTCCTCCTGCACTTGCGGGTTCGTTTTGTATCAATTTGAATTCCAATCCCTTGTTTGTTTCAAGCAATCTAATAAGTATCGTCAAGTATATCAATTTTGTAATCAAGATGTTGAATGTGCTCAGAGAACTAAATGCAGATTTGAGTGACTATCAGCCACCATAGAGTAGGAATGACAACAACAACAAAAAAAACTCAATATTTGTGTATTTCCAAACTCGTTTTACCGATAGCAAAATTGAACGATGATGTATATCGCAACTTAAACATTTCCCTGAGCAATGGTTTAAGAAATCACGATTTGGACATGTGATCACACTACACGCTTGAAATACTAAGAATTTGAGAAGAATGTGATTATGTAATTGTACCCTTAATCATTTCGATTGCCCAATGCCCATTAATAATTGTGTTTGACAATTGGATCATGATATGTGTATGCGTGTGTTCCTGTCAAAGGCAATGACTAGTGGCGGTATAAGTGGGAATAACAAATCATTAAGCATATAAATTATAATATATAATCCGACACATGATAATTAATCAGATACAACGAAAAAATGATAATTAATCATATCAATTCCCTTAACAGCATTATTATACAATATCATTTTGATTCACATCCTAGGAACCAAGCCGTAATCAAAGGGTACCTTTGTTCATTAGTTTAATGATCGTTGTTTCTCGGTTACACGTCCTAATCTCCGCGAAGACCTAGGTTGGACTTCAATGATGAATGCTGTTGGACTTATCATGCGGGAAATAAATAATTATAGCATATAGTTTCTAATCAATAATTATAAAAATTCTGGTGAAAAAAAAAAGGAAGAAACTATAGCCTACAACTTGGCTCCAGATCAGATGCAATGGGGTGCATCATCAAAGCCCTACGAAAGTGAAGATGATCGAATTCTCTACATTTAATCCTTCACACATCATCATCTACATGTAGCTAGTACCCAAGATAACTATAATGTTAATGTTAACTCTAGCGTAGAGTATGGTTTAGCTACAAATGCGACTCAATTAACTGGTTTAGTGATGTTGTTTCATCAGCTCAACTAAGTTTGACAAACGTTACGCTGCAACAACTTTATTAAGTTGTACAAAAAGTCTGTGGTTTGAAACGGAATGGAAAGCAACGTGTGAGTGAGGAATCATGGAACACTAAATGCATGTATTCACTTCACGAGATATGGTCGAGTTAAAATGTTGCTTAGTTAAGCCTGTCAATGTATTGCACTTTGATTTTGTCAGTCAAGCCAATCAAGTCAAGCCGCGTCTGAAAACGTTACTGATTGGCAACAATAAACATAATTGAATCCTACAAAAGCCGGTAGTCGTAACGTAAAGGGAAATCCAAATATCGTCAGAAAGCAGACGCCATCAACTTCAAAGTCACAACCAATTAAGCCAAGCCGCGCCTGACATCTCTGTTGACGGCATCGAAACCTACAAAAGCCGGTAGTTGAAACTGAAAGATATACAATGCATTAGAAAGCAAACAACAACAAATTTTCCAGAGTGGACCCCTACAAGTCACCAAACCGTTTCATATGTGTATGTTTCAATTGGCGGGAGAGAAGAGAGAGAGAGAAAAAACGCTATGATATTCATATACATATTTGAATCCTCTGAAAACGACAAAATCTCGCTCTATTTTTACTACAACGTACGCATCACGTGACCACACACATTCGAACCATGTGTCCTCCTGCCAATAAGAGTTTTTATCAGTTGATTAGTCACCTCCCTAAACCCCAAACGCCATTACACATTAACCAGCATCGTTATTCCTACTTCGTTCCCCTACCATTATAGGTTCTTCACTCTTCCAATGGCGCCAAATGGTAATTAACCATTTAGCCACCCCGTTGAATATGTTTTTTGTAATTAACCGAAACGTTTTCTAGAAACTGACCGAATTTGGTTAGGTCCCGTCCCGTCAAGAATAGGGCATGAGAATTGAGAACACATGGGAAAACATAGGCGCACCAGATCACAAGTTTCATCATCCCTCAGCCAGCCTACATCTACGACCCCTAGACCGTACACGTGTCAAGATCTCGCAAACAATACCAGCAACACAGTGAATGAAACTGGAAGCAGGGGATCAGAACCCATCCCTTCACCGCCTTCTTCTTCCTCTTCCCCTCTCTCTATAAACCCACACACTCCACCGCTGAATTCTCCTCAGCCAAAATCTCTGCCTCCGAGAAAAAGAAAAAGAAATTTCACTGCAAGTTCTCGATCAAATGCCGTCAGAATCCAGCGAGTATCAGACGGCGATTGAGGCGACGCAAGCTCTTCCAACCCCGGCCTCCGCCGCCATGGGTGGGAGCGCCGACGACGCGCCGTCTCTGCCGTGCCCGAGGTGCGAATCGACGAACACGAAGTTCTGCTACTACAACAACTACAACCTCTCCCAGCCCCGCCACTTCTGCAAGTCCTGCCGACGGTACTGGACCCAGGGCGGCTCCCTCCGCAACGTCCCCGTCGGCGGCGGCACCCGCAAGTCCTCCGCCGCCTCGTCCTCCAAGCGCCCACGCGCTTCCTTTGCTGCCGCGGCCGCCGTCACCACCACCACCACCAACATGGATTCCTCGGCGTCCACCAATACTACGACCTCCTCGTCCTCGAATTCCGCCAATTCGATGTCATCCCTCACTCACGAGCAGCAGCAGCAGCAGCACGATCACTACCCCGACCCGCCGCTCCACCTCGGACCCGAACCGGCCCTGCCGGTTTTCAATTCTGCCGAAGAGGGGAGGTTAGACGCGTTCCGCAATCTGAAGGAGAATCAGCAGCCGGTCTCGGCGAGCGAGAACGGAACCGCGAATGTAAGCGGAAGCTTCATCTCCCTGCTCAACAATCAAACGGCAGGAGGCGGGCTCGTGGGGTACCAAGCCGGGTACGGGTCAGGTCACGGGTACGGGTTCTACGATATGGGTCTCGGGTTGGCAGCAGTGGGTAATGTTGCCCCGAGGGAAATCTGGCCGTACTACCCTGCTTCCACCACCGCGGCTACTGCTGCTACCACCACAACTACAGACTACCTCGGCGTCTGCGGCGGCGGTGGGGACGCAGGAGCGATGGGCGGCGGCGGTAGTGGGATCGGCGGGGTGAACATATGGAGTGAGTCGGAGATTGGGAGTGTGGGAAGTTGTTATGTGGACCCGGAAGGGCTGGCTTGGCCGTCGTTTGTGATTCCCGGCCGGCGGGTTGGTTGATTGAAGTGAAGATCGGAGAACAGAGGTCGCTGATTTTCCGCCAATTCGATCGGCTCGATCTCTTTGGTTTGTTTTGGGCTTAGTTAATTAGTAGTTTCCTATAATTTAGTATAACAACAAAGGTTGGGGGAGGGAGGAGATGTGGTGAAATACTTGTGTTACAGGGTTGTGGGTTTTAATGGTGGGGTTTTTTGGTGTGTATCCCAGCTTCAGTTACAGCGGCGAAGGAGGAGGAGAAGCTTGTGGATTTGGCCATTTTGAGGAGGGCTTGTTCTCCTCTGTTTTATTTTGGGTCTAGTTTAAAATGTTAAAGAAGTGTCTTTTGTTGTCAAACCCGATTCTCTGTTCTTGGCATATCAGAAATCAGAATCGACTGGTGAAAGTGTACAATTTTGAAAGAAGTTTGATTTTGCAGGGACCAAAAGAGAAGGTGACCAAAGGGTGGGGTATCGTATTGGATATTTTGTTGGTAATGTGACGTTTGTGGGTTAGGTAGGTATAGGTTGGGTTTTGCGGTTAGGGTTGGGAGTTTCTTGGTAACAGAGAGTTGGCAGAAAGGAAGGTTGGGAGGGAGGTATGGATACGCGTGGGATGGGGAAGAGTGTTTGGGTGGGAAGAGATGGAAATGGAAGGCAAGGAAAGGAAGAATGTCCATTTGGGGTGCTGACCGCTGTCTGTGTTGTTCTATTCTCTGGCAATAGCGGTGGTGGTGGTGGGTCTCGGATATCAAAGAATGTCAGCTTCTGCAGCAAGCTTCGCGAACCCCAATAATGGCTACTCACTAGCTAGTTCCTTATCTCTTTTTCCTAGTTTCAGACTCTAGTACGTAGGGTTAACTGACCCAGTCCAAATATATTTAAACTAATAAATAAAACTTCCCCCATGTTACCTTAACCTCACAGTCTCACTCATAGCCTCATAGGTGATGTATGGAGGAAGGTTGTCAAACATGATTAAGCTATCGATTCAGTTTGCTAGGTGGTTTAAAATTTTAATGGTTGTTTTTATTTTACAAAAGAGTGAGCTTTATTCAAAAGAGATTGGAATAAAGAGATTGTGTTACAAGCAAAGCCTTCTACCGCATAGGAGAAACAATGTTCAGAATGTGGATCCAATCATATGTAAGAGATCCTTTACAAGCCTCTTTAGCCACCCAATCAATCATCTTGTTACAAGCACGGAGAACAAAAATTCTATCGTTTTGAGAAATGATAGTGCGCATACAATGGATCCAGGACATGATTTACCAGAGACCTCTTAAAGGGGGGAGAGTGCAACACATCAATGATAGTTTTACAGTCAGAGCAGATTCTTGTTGAGAGCCCATAGTCATTTGCCACTCTGAGTGCAGTAATGCATTTGCTTCTGGCCGCAATCGCTTCTGAATAAAACAGTGTATCAGCCCTTCCGTTGATCACTTGGCCAACAAAGTTACAGACAACAACGCTGTAAGTCGCCACCTCCGATTCTGAGACAAAGACTCCATTACAGTGTAATTCCAGTTGGAACATACCAGGCGGTGGGTTAAGGTTCATACGGTGATGGATAGGATGATTTTCAAGGGAAGGGACAGTGGTTCGCAGGTTAACACTTCAATTTGATGCATAGCGGATAGCATTTGAGATGGTAGTGAAGCCCCTCAAACGAGTCCCTCTGAAAACGAACTCGTTTCGGGCATTCCAAATTGCCCAAAGGGAGGCGATTATAGCCTTCACAAAGAATGAGGAGGTGCCTAACAAGATTTGGTAGAGCCACACAAGAATTGGCAAAGAGTCGGAGGGTAGCTGGAGTCCTGCAAAGCATAAATGCCAGACGTGGGAGGCATGGGGGCATTCGAAAACAATGTGCCTCACATCTTCACCATCATTCTGACACATGGTACAGTACTGGAAGGAGAGGGACGACTTTCCTAAACCAGAGATTCCGCATTGACGCAACAGCATTCTACGTCAGTCTCCAAATGAAGTTCTTGATCTTAGGAGGGAGCGACAAGCTCCAAAGCCATTTCCAAGCTTGTTCTGAGAAACCTGGATGATTAGAGTCAGGGGTGATATGATCCAAATCCGAAGAGAACCCTCGAACTCAGATGATATGACCAAAGTACACAACCTTCCTTCTTTTTAAGGATTTTCGAAGCCTTTTCCTTGACAACTTGAAAATAAAGATAGATGCGGAATCAATCGGACAATTCCTAACTCGTGATGAAGGGCAATTGGTATATTAAACCAATCGAACAACACCAACTCGTGGAAAGGGGCAATTGATATAGGGTAGATGCTCGCCACAACTAAACGCGTTCTCTAGTTGATAAGAGACATGTGAAACTCCCGGAGACTCTCGACAAAAGCTTGCACAAAACGTTCCTATGGAACTCGAGTAAAACTCTTGAATTGATTTCTGAATATTGGGTACAAAATTCGTAGCTCTTACATCCTCTAATTATAGAGGTCACAAAAACATAAAACTAACCTAAAATGAATAGGAAAACAAATCACAAACTAACTAGGAAACATAATACCACTTAAATAAGGACTATAACTCGTATTTAGACCAAAGAAAGCTCCTTAGCAGCTAAGTAATCTCCAAACGCTTTTTTAATGCTTAAGGAAGCTCCTTAGTGGTTAAGCAATCTCTTTCCTTGTCCTTTTCACATTTGGACAACTTGGGCAGCAAGGATGGAGGTTTTGGGCTCCAAGAAATGTTGTAGGCCGGATCCTTAACACATTCTCCATTTTATCCATCAAGAATGCTCCCAGTTGATCCTTATATCGTTGAATTTGAACCTTTATTTTGAGACCACGAGAATTGAATATCACGCTAGTCGTAATCGCATCATTCCCTCTCTTTTGAAGAAGATTCGACCTCGAATCTTTGGAGAATCTTGATCGCTCCTCAGCCCTCGTCTTCTTTGTCTTTGAACTAAATTGACTTGGGAGTGATGATTGTATCATGTCCCCCTTCTTAAAGACAATTCGTCCACGAATTGTAGATACACCATCATGATGAAAGTCCTCTACGTAATGTTGAATTTCTTGTCGATTCTCCCGGCGGGCTGCCTCTTCTAACATTGCATCACCAATCACAAAATCAATATTAGCAACTTTGGAAACTATTGGTAAATGCTCCATAAATTTCCAAGCATTCATCTCCTAGATCGAAATCTGGTTCCTCAATGTATTGCTCAACTTCAGGTGCACTCAACACTGACACATCAACAAGAACATCTTCTTTCACCTCTCCTACCACTTCGAAATCTTATGCTTCAAGTTCTGGTTCTTCTTGAGGTGAAATTAAAGCTTGTGCATCCTCTTCCCACGTGACTATAGTAAGTCCATCAACAAGAACCTCCTTTCTCTCCTTCTGCGAGTCTGGAGAGTGGATCGATGATTTTTCTACTTCTAGATTTGCCTGCTCCTTATAGGCTTGTTGTAATTGCCTTCTATCTTCAGCAATCCCTTCCAACAATAATGGTATCAAGGCAAGTTTCTTTTCTTGATGCCTTAAGATGATGTTGTTGGTGCTTCTGCTTCATCGTGCTTGGCGATCATTATGCCATGGGTTACCAAACACCACATGCGTAAGCTTCATAGGCTCGACATCACATTGAATTTGATCCACATAAGACCTAATTTTGATCTCCAAAATCACTTGTTCAATCACAAAAATCCAGGCCTTTTCCATCGATAATTGCATAAAGAAAGGGCTAGGATGTCGGTGTGCAGTTAGCCCTAACTTAGCTACTGCCCTTGAACCGATCAAATTGGATTTGATCTCTCCATCAATAACCACAGAACATAACTTCTCTTGAACCCAACAACGAGTATAAAACATATTACCTTGTTCTAGCTCTTCTGCCATCGCTTGATAAGATCTTCTCCTTTCCACTAATTTTGAATAAGAGATCTTCAAAATCGTCGCTGAGTTTGAACCGGGATCTTGATACCACTTGATATGATCCAAATCCGAAGAAAACCCTCGAACTCGGATGATATGACCAAAGTACGCAGCTCCATCCTATTTTTTATTTTCGAGTTCAAGAAAGGCGACATCATAAAATCATAAAAAGATCGTTGAAGCTGCCTACTTTGGTCATATCATCCGAGGTCGAGGGTTTTCTTCGGATTTGGATCATATCAAAGGGTTCCTAGTCTCTCTTTCTCAGCATTCCGGAAGATATGGTATGTTGATCTAACTGTGAAGCGTCCAAATTTCTCGTGATGCCAAACCCAGGAATCCTCAGTCTCAGTTCAGCCACAGGGGATGTGGATGATCGCTTCAACTTCCGGCATAGAGTAGCTTTGACGAATCATGTCCAGGTTCCACTCGTTCACGTCAGTCTTAACCCATTCAAAGGCTTTAAGATGTTGCCTTTGATTATGTTGGAGAAGAAAATTCGGGACGCCCAGGATCCAAGGGTCTTTGTCAAGGTTAATACTTCTCCCATTGCCCATATTTTTCCTAGCACCCAGTTTTAGAACTTCTTTGGCATCACAGATGCTCTCCCAAATTCAAGAAGGTTTCCTGCATCCAGAAAATTAGTGTTAGGGAAATAGATACTCTTGAGGAGCTTAATCCATGTCTCCTCCTTTTCCGTTGAGGATTCTCCATCATTGTTTAGCTAGCAAAGCCATTTTAACTGATGAAAGTCCTTGAACCCCATCCCTCCCTCTTGCTTTGTTGTCGTTAGGACACTTCATTTTCGCCAATGAATGGTTCCTTTGTCCATGTTCCCTCCCCAGAAGAAGGCCTTAAGCTTAGAGTCCATGATACATGTGGTGCCTTTTAGGAGGAGGAAACATGACATCATGTAAGTCAGATAGCTTTGGTAGATGGATTTCAAGAGGGGTTCTTTCCCTTCTTGAGAGAGAGCAAGGCTTTTTCAAAATTGGCCAAGACCTTCCATTCTTGAAATCAGAGTAGAGAACATTTCTTTTTTAAAGCGGCCCCATTCGGATGGGACTCCGAAATATTTCTCCATCCCTTCTAAAGATGGGATGTTC